TATTTTTCAAGCCTTCCCGGTGTGGATATACACTCAGAGTAACATCACACAAACATCTTATTCACCTGAGTACATTACACCAACACAGCAGATTTCATGATTATTAGATTACACTGATATCGAAGGAACTAGACTCAGTTCCGAAATATCGCATTCTCGAACCGTCCTGACCGCGTAGCTCAGTTGGAAGAGCATTGGGCTAGTATTCCAAAGGTCGTAGGTTCGAATCCCGCAGTGGCCAGGCATATTTTTCAAGCCTGCCCGGTGTGGATATACACTCACAGTAACATCACACAAACATCTTATTCACCTGAGTACATTACACCAACACAGCAGATTTCATCTTTCAATATGTTATGTAATTTTGTATCTTCAATCAGGAATTCAGGAGTAGTATAGAGCAGCTTGAAAGAATTAGTAGAAAGTCATAAATTTTGCAGTATCTGCTGCTTATAATCCTCTTGTAATCCCCCATAAATTGCTGCGGCTGGAATATGTTTCTATCGACAACGTGTTAGCTGATCAGAAATGAGGGCTAAAATAGGCTCAATAACAATAGTAATACCAGGCTGTGAAATAGCAGGTAACATATACAAAAGGGACTTTCCTCCTCCTGTTGGAATATTTATAAAGCAGTCCTTCCCATTAAGTATAGATGTGATTGCAGGAGCTTGTTCTCCTTTGTAAGATGAAAATCCCAAAATATTTGAAATAACTGGCAGCAAGTCTTCTGCACAATTCACATTTTCAGGTATGCAAGGCATTGTTGAAATACAGTCAATAGCAAATATGGAGTTATACAAGTTGTTGTACCAGAAGTAGATGATGATAAATCTAGTGAATTTTCAGAATTGCTAAACCAGTTTTCATTGACAAATATTTTTGTGCACTCCATTACTGGTATTTGCAGTCGTTCTGTACTTAAGGATTTCCATACCTTGTACACCTGGGTTAATGTTGATCCATGGACAGTAATATATGGATTCGAAAAACTAGCAAGCAAAACATAAGAAGCTTTAAGGCAGGTCAACATCTTTAATGTCCATTGATTTTCCAACAGTCAGTGGTCAACATCTTTAATGTCCATTGATTTTCCACCATAAGTTACAATGAACATTTCTCTTGATACACTGTCTTGAATATATTGAAAACCGCATTAACCCATTTAATTGCAGTACCACATAACACTGACAAGTAAAATTGTCTGGCATTAGACAGAGTATTAAATAATAAAGTAAGATGAATCTGGGCACACTGCCAGATATTATTGTGCAAAACACCTAATTATCTCATCATAGTATTTTACTTTGTTTAATTGCCAGATAATTTTACTTGTCAATTGAAATTTACAAAATGAAACTTGCAAAAATGAAATATATTTGCAAGAAATCATCAAATCAAGAAATGTTTGCTATTTCGATGTCGTCATGCAGTCGTTATAATGCAAATATTAAATTTGACCAATTGGTGTTCGCTATTCACGACAGTCCGCCATTTTTTTGAAATCAGTGAGGATGACCACCCACCCAAAACGCACAGTGACCCACGCCCGCGATCATTGATGAACTTTAGAAATCGCTAATGCTTTCGTTTCCCCGGGTGTAAATAGCCGGGCGGAATTAGTACCTTCGCCCCGGGTTTACGCCCGGAACCGCCGTTGGCTTGGGGATAATAATGACCTACATTTTCTTGACATTAAAATCACGCCTACTGGCACTGCTGTCTACCGCAAATCCACCAACACCGGGCAATACGTCCATCTATCAAGCTTTACACCTTGGTGTAGGAAAATTGCTTGGCTACGTGCCCTTGTATATCGTGCTTATAAATCTGTAGTAACGATGAACTATTACGTAATGAACTCTCTAATATTACTAAATTTGCCCTTGTATATCGTGCTTATAAATCTGTAGTAACGATGAACTATTACGTAATGAACTCTCTAATATTACTAAATTTGCTTCTTGGAACGGGTTTTCTACACGACTTACTAATCAACTTTTAGAATCATTTACCCCTAAATTACCTAATAACCTACCCAATGACGATGTTGTTACTGATCCTCTGAATTCATCTACCTTTCATTGGTAAAAGAAGCAGCTCCCTTATTTACCACTACAGCTAAATTCGTCACCCTATGGAACACCACTAATGCAAATGCCTTCTTGAGTACTAAAGATCCTACGACAAAACAACACCAAAGTTCTGTTGTCTACAAATTTACTTGTCCCGCCGGCTGCTCACATTCTTATGTTGGCAAAACAGATAGATGCCTTATCACTAGATTAAAGGAACATTCTGATTAAAGGAACATTCTGATTCTGATTTTTTAGACATTTCAATTCGTGTGGACACTTTTATAATTTCAGTCCACTATTAGTTTTACTTTATAAAAACCCGGAACTACTACCTCAAATTATTCTTAAAAATATACTCTAATTATTGATAAATCTATGAACTGGTCGCTTCTATTATATAAAAAAGTTTTACATATTCACAAACAGAAACCTGAACTAAACCATGGGACTAAAGCTTCAAAAGAACTTGTTATCTTTAATTAGGACTTATTGACAGATAAGATCATCTTATAATATATCACACTGTTACGTTCGCGGGCGAGAACGAACAAAAAATGTGTGTTATATTGATCAGTTTACGCTCGTTGCCCTCCTTGACCAGACACAGCGACACGTGCTGGCCAGGGAGGCTTTCTTGTATTTGTAATATCCTTCTTCTGAATCTTATGAAATTTGCAACGACAATAATTTCAACAATATATCAATTGAACAACAACAACAATTATCTCTAAACTTTTTAATTCTTTCTCATAATCTTCTAACTATCTTCTTTAACTTAAGCTTTCGCCGTTTATATACTATCCAATAGATATTTATAGAACATTACATCATACTACTTTTAGATATTACATAAGACGATAAATATAGCAAAATTACGAGTCAGCATAATTACGTAATGTCTTAAATTAAGAATATCATGACGTGACTGACTTCACGTCAAACTCCCCCTCTTGAAAAAAAAAGTTTGCTAAAACTTTCGTTAACTGTTCGTAATCTCCATTATATTCATATCAAATGATTGTTCTTTAAATGTTATAATTATACTTTAAAATACTCTACAAGGAATTAAATTTGAGAAAACTCGATACAGCAAGAATAGCGTCCTTAAACTCTAGCAACAGTTACAGAATAGGGAAGATTCAACAACAGAAGAACTACATCTTCAAACTATTATAAATTACATACTCCCTTTTTAATCTTAAATTTAAACAACATTTTATACTTTAATAATAATTATTACTTTAACTTACGGGAGATTTATCAAACTATTACAACTTCGTAATAAACAGAACAGCTGGGCATTTTGTACGGAGCATGCGCGAAAAAATCAATATGGCGACATATATTAGGAGTGCTTCGTGGGTTTATCTGGTTTTAAAGCTGATAAAACAACACTTTAATGAACGAAAACTTTGTAATATTTAGTGGAAAACATTAAGCTATGCAATCCAAAGGTTTTAAATTAAAAATAAGTACTTTTGCTTTATTTTATTGCTTTTTATGCCTTCAAAATAGGCAAGCTCATTTTTTTTTAAAGAATCTATAAAATTAATATTTACCCATCATTTGTTTAATCTGAACAGAAATAGATAGAACACTTGGCTACATAAGTTATAAAGAGAATTGGTAGCTGATCTAAAAGATTTCAGTATTCCTGGTACACATTTTAACAAAGAATGACTGTAATTTTAAAAATTAAATATGTATATCAAAAACAAAGTTTTATTAGAACAACACATAATAAGTTGTTATTTTCAATTTTTACAAAAACAAGTTTGGAAACAGAATCTAGTCCTCCAGTTTGATGTCATATTCCATTTATTTGGATATTTGAATAAAGGAATGTGAAATAATAATTGAAACTTGTCCAAAATTTGATACCAACACTCAAGTGAACAGATACTATCACCCAGCCTAGACCTAGGCCTTCTAGTCTTGTTTATATGTTTTTAATATTCAGCGCTTTTTCACATGAAAAGACTGGGACTAGGTGATTTGGGGGCGGGGCGAAGGAACCAAGCCTAGAAGGCCTAGTTGATTTCCCAACAACAAGGCCAAAACTGCCCTGAAACTGCCCTGGTTGCGAAATGCCCAATTATTGCGTTCTCAAACAGAAGTATTTGCAACTTAACGGCGAATTTAAACGGATACAGGTAAAATAAACTCATTTATAGTATAAACTTACTACATTTATTTGTATACACGTCTAGAAAATCGGTTTTTTTATCATAAGTTTGAAGCAACACTATTATTATGTTGACAAGGTGTAGCGAAAGCACAAAATGAGTCAAAATATATACCAAAAGTAGAATCTTTCATGAAATTTTGTCTTATACACAACTACATTAATATATATTTTATAAATTTTGGCAAGAAGCAGTCTTGTGTTTGTAAAATATACAAACACATATACAATTATAATTTATTAAATAAAACGGATACATATATTATTAGCCCGTACAGTACTGCATGTATATAAAAACGTACATTGTTTACAAATGGTATATCCGTAATATTTGAACAATAATTTCAAAATCCTCATTCCCAATTCGCAAATATAGTTATTCAAAGCAAAACAGTAGATTGTCTTGCGAATAAAAGTTATTATTTTGTACTTTCGCTTCACCTTGTCAACATAATAATAGTGTTGCTTCAAACTTTATGATAAAAAACCCGATTTTCTAGACGTGTATACAAATAAAAATAGTAAGTTTATACTATAAATGAGTTTATTTTACCTGTATCGGTTTAAATTCGCTGTTAAGTTGCAAATAATTCTGTTTGAGAACGCAATAATTGAGCATTTTGCAAAGTTTCAGGGCAGTTTTGGCCTTGTTGTTGGGAAATCGACTAGGCCTTCTATTTTTCCGCTTGCGTCAGGCTTGTGTCATTCCTCCGCCCCGCCCCCAAATCACCTGGTCCCAGTCTTTTCATGTGAAAAAGCGCTGAATCTTAAAAAAATATAAATAAAAATAGAAGGCCTAGGTCTAGGCTGACTATCACCTAAAAATAAAAGAAAACAGAACTTAAATTTGTCATATAATGCTATGAAAAAATCTTAGATACTACAGGCATATAGTGAGCACAATTCTTTAACAAACTCACTAAAATAAGTTAAGTTATGCTTTGATAAGAGGATGGCAATATATGACAACATCAAATGTTACCATCTTCAGTGTCCAAAAAAAGTGCCGCGCGCATTTTTCCCAGCATACCCACTAACTTTTCCATGAAGGTTGATTAATTAGGATAGTTTTAAGCCATATTTCGGAGAGAGGCAATGGGCAAAATTTTAAGATATTTTTATTAATATGCCATATCACCACATAATTTCACAAAGCAAGCATGCCTATATTCAGGATTGCCGTTAGACTCTTAAAACTGAACAAATCAATACGGCACTTCCTATCTCATAACAACCAATACTTGAACATTTTCAAAAGCATTTTTGCATCAATTTTTACTTTATAACAAACCAATACAGGAGCAATTACATAAGCATGTGACAACATGACATTTTCACTTCACAAGTGGATTTGTCAATGACAACATCTAGCACATTTTTCCCATGAATAGCTCAGGTTTTAATAAAACAAAGTATGATTTAACTTTCATAAAATATATTTTCCAACTAAAGGCAACGGCCAGTTTTTACGAAATTGCAAGAGGAATATGTGTCATTTTCATGAAAATATGTATTTTAAGACACTTACTATTCCAGATGAGGAAGGACAAACAAATTATTGAACATACCTGTGGAAACAACAACAACTCAGCTTCTATCAAGAGTAAAATATGAACACTTCCTTGTTTCCATACTGCTGTACCCTGCTTCTGAAACTCTGACAATGAGTGAAACATTTCCACTTGTCGCCGATTTGTAAATAAAAATTCTTCGCACGTTTTCATGCGATTAAGTCGTTATATCGTTGCGTACAAGCACTACAACTTAATCTTTCAAGAAACACTTTATTTTCCATGAACAAACCCGTAAAAGAGGACAAAAAATTCTCTCACAATGCATATTTTCAGCGTTCGAAGAATCAAAATGTTTGTTAAAGAAATGCGCCCGCAATATTTAGACAGCGACAACAGAATGCCCAGCTGTTAATAAACAGTGGAACAAACCACTAACATGTGGTCAATAATACAAAATCTTTCCCCACTGTTAGGCATCACTGAGTAGACGTTAGGCACAATCTTAGCAGAAACCTTTTCACGAAGACGTAGTGAACCTTCAGCGTTGCACTCTTGTCTCTTGTGCTTCAGCCTTCAGCCTACCTCTACCTTCAGCCTTTAACTGCACGACGATAAAACTGGAAAGACATCCATCAACAATATAGCACCAAAAGAAAAATCATCAGACTGACAACAAAATTACCGTTCTCATGCATCCAAGAGAGTGGTTTCCCGCTTGAGATTATATCCAGTTGTTACGTTCCTTCTACATTTCCCCGTTGTTATTTTCCCATTGTCAGTTTCCCGCCTGAGATGTTCAATTACATTCGTTTTACAATTCCCGTTGTTGCATTCCCGTTGTTAGTTTCCCGCCTGAGCCCCCATTTGTTACTTGGGGAGGGAGAACGAACAAAAGTGTATGTCTGCATCTTTACGATCGTTGCCCTCCTTGACCAGACACAGCGACACGCGCTGGCCAAGGAGGCTTTCTTGTATTTGTAATATCCTTCTTCTGAGTCTTATGAAGTTTGCAACGACAATAATTTCAACAATATATCAATTTATTCTTCTCGAACAACAACAACAATTATCTCTAAACTTTTTAATTCTTTCTCATAATCTTCTAACTATCTTCTTTAACTTAAGCTTTCGCTGTTTATATACTATCCGATAGATATTTATAGAACATTACATCATACTACTTTTAGATATTACATAAGACGATAAATATAGCAAAAACATGAGTCAACATAATTACGTAATGTCTTAAATTAAGAATATCATGACGTGACTGACTTCACGTCACAACACCTGTATATATAAGTTGTAAAATATTTAGTAGCTTTCATGCATAATTCCCAGTATATATAATGACTCAACAGTAGTCGAAACGTTGAATAAAAAAGATGCATTTCTTCGGATTTTCCATTGTATTGTATTTTATTACAATACTCAGTGGTTACCGAAAATTTTATGCTTATTTTGCTTCCCAAGAAACACGAAAGGCTAGGTTACTTAGGACATTACCCGAAATTGAAGTTAAGGTAGTTCAAATGCTAAAATTGAAATTGTTAATTTTTGTGGAAAATGGCAATTGTTTTTATATAAATTTGATCATCCGTATTTCTCGATTTTTTTACTCATTCTTAAAGCGTGCACCAGATTCAGACAGTTGTATCTCACGTAATATTACAAGACATTTTTAGGGCTGTATATCAAGATCTAAGTTAGCCTTTCCTGAATACAATAAAATATCTTTGAGTGTAGGCCAAAAAGCTTTTATAGTTTTTACCTTACATCAATCAGCGCAAGTTTTTTGGGTGACACCCGGTATATGTATATATGTGTGTGCATATATGTGTGTATAGTATATGTATATGTATATATATGTTTGGGAAATTGATAATTTTGTTATTAAAAGTAATATTTTGGGGGGATTTTTCAATTTTAAAAACATTCATAATAAAATTATCGTGTTACCATGAGAACTACTTTAAATACTTCATGTTTGGGAAATATGGTTTTCTCAGTAAGGCGAGGGTTTCTGCATGCATGTATTTCTAGTTATAGATCTAAATAAATGGGGTCACAAGCCGGGTCCAAGGTAGCACTTGAAAAAATAATATTAGTGGAAAGATTATACATAGCTAGTGCTTTATTTTAAAATAGGCAATAGTAAAAAATAGGATTTATCATTCAAATGGTCTGAGAATTGCTCACGATAGAAAATGATGTTACTCTGGTTGTAACGTCACGCATATCCGACGATGGATATGCATATATACACGATATAGAAAATCTGTAAAAAGCTTTTGAATAATGTTGAATCCCACTTCCAAAAGGGAGAAACTTAATTTTTTGCTATTTCCCTTTAAAACGTCTGCTTTTCCCGAACAAAAAATCAACAGCATTAAATCCAACGAGAAAACAAGCCTTAATCACACAAAAATCTCTAATCCAACCTTCACTTACCCTAAAAGCATACTTCAGACCTCCGTTATCAGCAATGTTTTCTGATAATGTCTTGTTGCCATCAACCTAAGAAATGCAGTGTCCATTATTATGTTGTGGTTATATAACAGCTAGTGGGTTGGTAGCTACAGGTCAGGAAAAGTAAAATTCAAAGACTTTTCAAAGATGTAATCAGAAAATTTAAGGACTAAAATGCTGAACAGAAGGCGTTAAAAATCAGTAAAAAGTGACGTTAAACCGTTTCAAACAGCTTTGTATAAGGCATGAATAAAATCCATTCAACAAAACGCCCGCTTTCAATTTCAAACAATTTGAGAGAATATCCAAAAACAAACGCATTAAGATCTCTGTACTCAGGCTGTTTGCCGGTTAGCTGGGCATATATGAACATGCACTAAAACTTTAAAAATACAAGATTATTGAAATGAATGATGGAACTGATCAGAAATGACAAACCTTCTTTACAAACCTTATAATCAAATATTTTAACTTTGTTGTACTCTTCAACCAAACATGTCGACCGCTTCACAAAATTTTCCTTTGATTTCTTGGTCCACCATTGGCGCAAATTTCCGTTCTCGTCGAACTCAATTCCTGTTTGTGATGTTTACAGAATGGCTATATGTATATAAGTTATAGTATCGTTCCGCGTGCAATTTGGAAAAAGCATGCACAAATAATTTTTTCAACAACAGAGTCCGAAGGATTAGTGTCATTAGAAATCTTTGAAAGATTTACGAATGTTTGTTTTTCCAAATTGCACGAGAAATTAAACCATACTACAATTTATTAATATAATTACGTGAAAACATTATTTAACAATTAGTCACCGAGGACGAGGTGATTACAAGCCTATTCACTGAGCCGAAGGCGAAGTGAATATAGGCTTGTAATAACCGAGCGTGAGGTCATTTCAGTATTGAAAAAGTTTTGTTTATAAATACAACTAATACACGTGTTTATTTTATGAATATAATTTGTATAAATAATTCACTTCCGTCTGATTTTCAGCCATTTTTCTGCGTAAAGCAATAGTTACTGCCCAGAGCAGTAACTGCTGAGGGAGCCAATCAGAATGCTCAAAGGCCATTTTTCAATACTGAAATTATACTAAACAGAATTATTACATTCAGTGTTACTTGCATGCATACAACACATGCGAATAGATCATTTACTCACTCGTTTGAATGGCACAACAACTCAATACAAGTTTTCAACTACCAGCGGTCAAAACTTAAATCCAAATCTCTTTTGTTTTAGCGCTTAATTGTATCATCCTACCTGAATCGTCAAAGCCATGTGTAATTTCATGTCCTACGACCATACCAAGAGAACCATAATTCAACGCTCTGAAATGCACAAAAGCAACAGTTATGAGCTGGAGCAGTCTTCTAGTGACGCATACAAAACCAAACAAAATCATTTACTTCAGTCTGTCGTCTTTGTAGAAAGGTGGTTGTAATATTCCTGCCAGGATAGCTCCAAGATAAGCAATAATAAGTTGGTCAACACCATGGGCGTACCGGAAGGAAAAAATTAGGGGGGCGGAAAGAAAATTGCCCGACTTTTCGGGATTCTGCCCGACTAGTACCAAAATTTTTTTTCCGGAAAAATTATTGTGGCGCCCCCCCCCCACCCATCGCCAAAAAAATTTCGGTCAGTGTACCATTTTAGGGGTCAAAAAATTTTTCCGGACAACCAATATTTTTCGGAACATAACACAAATTTTCGAAAAATCAAAAAATTGGCCAAAAAGTGACCTAATTTTAGACAAAATTGACAGAATTTGTCCCATTTTTTTATTGCAAACCGAAATTGCCCGACTGTTGATCGAATATTGCCCGACTGCCCAAAAAACTAGGGGGCTACCGCCCCCCCCCCGCCCCCCCGCCCGGTACGCCTATGGTCAACACACATATGAAAAGACCCATGAAAATAAAATGAATGAAGTGGGAAGTCGGTTGATACGTAAGGTAAGCAAGGAGATAGGTAGGTAGGTAGGTATTGAATGATAGGAGGGCGAAGAGCACGAAGAAAATAATTAGTAAGAGGATTTAGTTAAAGGTAATGCTAGACTTACTCATCGCGTTTGCAGAAGGAACATAAAATGCATTGACTGTAAGAGGTGGCATCAAAAATCTGTATAGAAAATAGAAAGATAACTTTAAATAAAGTATTTGTACACATACATTTCTACTTATTGGTATACTGAATTCCCTCATTGATACTGTTACAAACACATTAAGTTGCTTCAGGAATACAATGTTGAAATATTAATCACTTAGTCATAAATTTATGATTACGTTAACCGTCATTGCTGTCTGAGTTATGTCACATTTAATTATTATTCACATACATAATTAAAGCATAAAGGAGACATCCTATTTATAAGTCCTATGCTCGCTGGATGACTCTGACCTTTGCCCCTGATGTCACTACCTCAAATAAACCTGTTTTCAGTTATGTATACAGTTGCATTTTTACTGAATGGACGACTTGCGCTTTAGACTAAATTTTAATCTAAGCAAGAACAACGAAATCTATCACCACAGCTGGAAAGAGCGTCTTGGAATTAGTAATATTACAAAGTTTGGTTGCGAAATGTTGTAAAATACGGAAAATATAGCCCTTTAAAGTTGGCAAATTTGTATACTTTTGTGTTACGTGCGTGAATTGGTAACTAAATTAGTTACCAATTTCCGCACGTAATAGAAATGTATACAAATTTGCCAACTTCCCAGGGCTATATTTTCCGTCTTTTACAATTAACATTTCGCAACCAAACTTTGCAATTTTTCTAATTTTGATAACTTTTTTCAGAAAATATCCTTTGTTATTCCCAGATGAAAAATTTTTCTAAAGCGTAAGGCGTCCATTACGTAATGGTATTGGTTGAAAATTATAATATTTTATTGGATTAAGATTTATTGATTTATTATTGATTGATCGATTGATTGAAGGACGGGTCTGGCCTTATTTCGTAGAAGGGGTGGAGGTTTCCCAGAAGGGGTGGAGAGGGTGCATTACTAAGGCTTCCGGAGTATGCTCCCTCGGAAAATTCTTGAAATTTGAAGTCCTGAAATGTCGTTTCCTGCATTCTGAGCACTAAATTTATCTGTCAAATTTAATGAAAATACTAGAAATACATGCATGCAGCAACCCTTCGCCTGTATTTTCCAAACATTGATTTAACATGAAGTATTAGTGATTGATCAACACTGAACGCAGGCTTGCGTTTACGTCAGTGTTGCCATGGCAACACGATAATTTTATTATATTTGTATTTTTATTATATTTTTTGTACAACACGCCAAAAATAGTTAAAAGATTATTGCTTTTAACTATATAACAGTGAATTTCCGAAATATGTACTGTGGGTATGTTGTTCTGCATTTTGTGAGCTTTGATTTAATGTAAAATTTAATCTGAATCGCTCAGTAAAATGTTTTGAAATGTTCATTTTAATATAAACTATTATCTTTTCCGATAAATTGTTTTTACTTAATAAAACAAAATAGGTTCATATTGTTGAGTAATTTCAGTTCGGTTTTGAAATTAATTTGCTTTCCTTTACATTTTACCTTTTTTCTTAAATTAAAAAGGGTATATATTTAGCAAACTTTAATACAGCTTCATTTAAAAGGAAAGCAGTGCATGTTTTACGCAATAAATTAAAGCAACAAAATTCATAAACATTAAACATTCAAAGCAAACTTGCCCTATATTTTACGATTTCCCACAGTAAATCAATTCTTCTCATTTCTTCAAACAAAAATTGCTTACAAACTCATTGTGTGATAAGTGATTTTCCAAATATATTCTTTTGAAAATTGAAATCTTGATTATCCCACTCCTGGCAAACAGCCATATTTTTTAGATCAGTGAGGATGACCAACCACGGTTGGTTGCCCACGCCCGCGATCATTGATAACTTTAGATTTCGCTAATGCTTCCCTTTCTCCGGGTGTATGTAGCCGGGCGGAATTAGTAACCTCGCGTCGGGCTAACGCTCGGAATGGCGCTCGGCGCCGTTGGCTCGGGGGATAATTGTTCTACGCCGGATGTTGAAATCATCTTGAAACAGATTTGTTGAAATCATCTTGAAACAGCTACATATCAGCTTTTGCGACATCCTGACTTGTTGCTATAAAAACCTGTACGTTTAGCATATTTTTATAATTTAAGAGCAAACAGAAATCAAATTTAGCAAGTATTTTGACGTATATGCGATTCTCAAAGTTGATTGTACATAACACTCACTCTTGGCGATCGAAGTGTTACGTGCTGAAGTGGAAGCATGTGATATGATACTTTTCCCACACCCCCTTAAGCAATCAATTTTCTGGGAGCCATGTGACCAGCTATTGCCAGGGTCTTTCCCTCTAAAGAGGGAAACTGCCACGGTAGATCCGCCCAGGGTCGTAGCAAGGCGCGATATTTGGGGGGGGGTGTATATTCATATATTCATGTTCACATACCGTAAAAATAATCCCTTTCAAAAGAAATCCGTCAGGCAGAACACGAATACATGAATATACCCCCCCCCCCCAATTATCGGTCTAGCTACGGCCCTGGATCCGCCCCTGTATTAACCCTGATTGTTTCAACAGACTCATCACCTGCTATTGTTTGGAGGCTTTCCCAATTTATTCATTTCCTTCAGAACTTGATCTTTCCAAACACTTAGGGTATTTTGCAAAACACGATATTGATTGACCTGAACCTAAACCACAATAGATAACATATTTAATTCTGACTTGTACAACATATCTAATGTTAACCTGCGATCAGGCCTATAAATAAATAAATAGGCCTGATACAAATCTTAACAAAAGTCCATATTTTTACAACCGTATTTCGGTTGTAAATCTGATTGGTTTGTGCGACAAAAGATTTTTTAATTTGTCATTTGATTGGTTGGTGCTAATTACATTATATATTGTCGTTGATATATTTATAGTGATCACAACTATAATTAGATTGTTGTTGTCGTTGTGTGAAATTTAAATTTCTCCTGCGACATTTTGATTGGATACTAAATATAAACTTTGCTGTGGGTGGAAAGCGATCGGATTAAGAATTGTGTCAGACTATTATTTGTAAAATAGAGCCTGATCGCAGGTTAATCTAATGTGAGACTAAAGATTAAAAACTTACATTTTTATAAAATTTGTTCAGCTTAACAGGATTCTTAATAAACGTTGGAAAACCAATCAATTTCTTCATTTTCTTTAGCTAGTTATATGTAAAAAGTAATCACTATTATATAACAAAATAAATAGGCCATCTTCTCAAGGGCGTCTGGAGGCGCTTCCTCCCACTATTTGTGGTAGGGATGATAAATATATAATCACCCTTTGCCATGATTAATAGTTATTGAGTTGTGGTGGACTGACATCATTTTGCGATTGAAATTCTTAATTTCTTTAGAAAAACAAATCTTCTCAATGAATATAACAACCTCTGTAAGCACCCCTATCCCACAGCACTTCAAAGTTTCAATTGAAAAATAAAAATTATACGTTTCGCCCTAAGAAATCGTTGTGAAAATACTATAAAATTTAAGGGGGCACATGCCTCCAGTCCACCGGCCAGCCCCCCCCCCCACACACACACGCACAGTTTCTGGAATGGATTGTCACCCATGCGTTTTCTCTCTTCCTTTCTTAAGACCCGTACTTTCTTTGCCATTCGCGTCACTGACCTTAAGGCGAGCCTGAGCGCGCGTTGCATTGTCCATCCATGTTTGTTCTTCCAAGCCATCAATGAATTGATTTTTAATTTCTGTAAACATTTCCGCTGCCTATAAAGATGTAATAAATAACCTTACAGTAAGACGGTGTTACATACACTATTATTAGACATAATCATGCAGGAGCAGCTGCGAAAAATGCAACTATCCCTCTGGCAGGAATTCGAATCGACCTGCTGCCCTGCGATTCCGGTGTAGCGTTTAAACCAACTGAGGTACAGAGTCCATTTGTCGAGCTCTAACTACAAGTTCATTTATAAATAGTAAGATGTCAATGTACGATGTATGGGTAAATATCTTTGGGGCGTCTCACTCGATATAACCAGGTGATCTTGATACGCGGAAAAGTACTGGCACTAGTTGTCAAATAGAAATCCATTTTGTGATTAAAACAACTGAATATCTCCTGTGATATACTTTATTTCGATTCCATATTTTTGTCAGAGCTATAGTTCTTATAACCAAACATAATTACAAAATTTCAACTAGTTTCATAAAGAATAACGAAAGATATAATTGACTGAATACATCAAAATGGATTTCTATCCGAACAACCCTTTCTGAGCGCTGATTGGCGAAAATACGAACACGAGATCACCAGGAACTAAACCCCTTCAACAATAGGCAATTCCCATTATAGACTAATTTTAAAACTAGGCACTGTACTCCTACTATGATTATAAACAGATCGATTCCACCGACATATAATAAAATAATCTTACCGCTTTAATCCTAGCATCTTCTGACAAGTTTTCATTCACATACAGTAGTGCTGTAGCATATGCAAAATAACTGTCGGTCAAACCAGTGCATGTCTCCCATCTGGAGGCAGTTATTTTTATACCAAAATCACTTTGAATATATTTCTCTTGTGCTTCTCTAAATGCCTCAGGTAAAGCATTGATCAAGCCTCGAAAAACATTCCAGATTATTTCGTTCGCTAATAAACTACAATGGGAGGAAAAATTAATACAGTAGGGTACGACACTGGGACAGGAGGGGGTGGGCGACAGGGGGACTACTATTCTCTTAATTAATGTCTAAAAAAAATTTTTTGAATTTTTCAAAAATAGCTTTCACAACATGTGGTGTCATCACTTTTACAGATGCGGTTGATATATAGAGAATAATACATGGGTGCGCGGGAATACCGGATTTATTTCGAGTGTTGAACATGATATCTCACGAGTGAGCGCGGCGAACGAGTGAGATATCATGTTCAACATGAGAAATAAATCTGGTATTTCCAAGCACCCATGTATTTTTCTGTTTATTTTATAAACAAAATTCAGTGAAAGACAATAAAACGTCCGTGACAATGCGTTTTACAACAAATGATATTTTCACACGTAAAAATATCGTGTTAAAAATATCGTGTCTCAGTGGCAAAAACTCTATATAACACTTATGTTTATATAATAAATCCGATTTTAACCAAATAAACCAATCAGATGCGTACTAAGCCAGTTGAGGTAGTGGTAGCGGAAATGAAAGTCAAATCTGAAACCTCTATAATATGCATTTGCAACGCCAAATCTTTTCTTTCCAAAGTCAAAACATTTCGACAACAAAGCAAGTTGAGTACACGAGTATTGAATGGTAATTGCCTACCTCTTGGGTTTGTCTTTAAGCCAGAGAACAATGTTCTTGATAGCATCAGGATAAACTATCATCAATTTTTGGTCAGATGCCGGAAATGGTATATTTGTGCCATGAAGTACTTCCTCAAAATACATTGTCCAATTAAACTGGAAAAGTTGGAAATGGTCCAGTAAGGTATACGCAAGTTAGCTTAGGGTATGGTATTATATGCATGGGTAAAGTATGTTATGGGATGGTATGATATACAGCTTGGTATAGTATATATGGCATAATATAGTATGGTATGGTATGATATGGTATGGTATGCAGTATGGTATAATATCGTATGGTATACAAATAATGAATGTGTGTGAGTGCAATGGTAAAAATATTTTCTTGAGGTGAAAGATGGAATTTTCCAAAACAAATACATACCCAAATTGCATGTAGAATGTTAAAATTACTAGAAAACCAACAAACATGTCCAAAAGAGTTGCGTGAAGAGTTAATGTAATAATGGCATTTATTTAACTCAACATTGTCGTAAAAAGTAATATTTTTTATTATTTTAGTGACTTTTTCACCCGCCATTTTGCTTCGCACAAATTATCCATTTGAATTTTAATTCCACCGGCCTCATTATGAACACTTGGGCTACATGAGCTACGATTAAGATACGATTAAGATTTGGATGGATGGAATTTCTTGAAAACCCAAGCGTGCAATGGAACAAAACGTATAGTACAAAAATGTACGACTGAGCGTGCAATGGAAAGCGTTCACCAAAATGGTAAATTTTAAATCGTACCTTGAACGACGTGAAATTATTCAACTCGTTGACTGTCATAAATTTTAAATTCTTTCTAAGTTTTTTTATGTCTTTCGGGTCAAAAACGTCATTTACCTACAAAATGGATAACTTAGCTTTAGTATTACTACGGAACTCACGGAAAATTTATGGAAACGCATCAAAAACTTATTATGGAAACGCATCAAAAATTCATATCGCCGCCACTCCCACAAACGTCTAAGACCGCACCTACATATTTTTGCATGTTTGCAATTCTAATTTTAAACAGCCAATCGACGTTTAATTGTAATTGTCACCAAGAGCCGGACTGGCTATTTAAAATTAGAATTGTAAACATGCAAAAATATGTAGGTGCGGTCGTAGACGCGTTTGTGGAGTAGTGGCGATACGAATATTTGATGCGTTTCCACAGTTCGGTGAGTTCCGTAATACGTGTTCTACTTGAGAAAGTATTTCTTCTGATTTTACTCTCTCCAATAAACTATTCCCTTTTCAGGGGAAGATATTTATTATGTCCAATCATAAGATAACATTTATAGTGCGGGAGCATTGATTGGTCGATGGCGTGTTTCTATAACTGTATGGAAACACGGGAAATTTACCATCGCGCAACAGGAGCGGATCCACCACCAATAACAAACCCATTTTCATCATTAGCGCAAACTTCCAGGCAAACTGCAAGAATCAATATTTTCGAAAAAACAAGCGCGCTCTTATTTAGTGGTATATACAGGGATTTTCTGAAGCTGTATTATTTCCATAGTACCACCAGCCTAACGCTCCGTGCAGCGTCTTGTTGGTACTGAAATTTACATACAAACGCGCTCCCGCTGAAACGACAACAAACTGGCGTGACGTCACAAATCATGCTCGTTCCAGACTTCAAGCAGCTAGATATTCCGACGGCCGCGTACCAAGTAAAATCGCAATATCAGCAAGTTCTAGTGGTTCTAAAGGTTTTGCCTTTCAACCAAAAGTATTACCATTTGCATTCAAGCGTTACCCCACGCCGCGACAACAAGTTGTTTCCGAGTTTTGCAGCGAGCGTTTTGATTGGACAACTTGACGTTTTACGTGCCAAACAATTATGACAGGGGGTGTATCTTTATGCTTCGTATGTTAGAGGCGCAGTTTACACTGAAGGCGCGGTTTTATCGTTGTGAACAATGGACGATATTCAGCTGCAGTTTAAAGTAAATGGAACTATTCGTTGGGCAATAATTAATGTTTCGAGTACATATGGAGAACTGGAAAATGAGATACGAAAACAGACTTCGCGATTAAGAGCTATTGAATTTGGTATTATGTATGAAAATAACGACGGTGAACACGTCGTTCTAAACAAAGATCCCCCGAGCTCTTCGTATTGCTATAGCATCGCCTGCCATTATTCCAGGAACGGACTTAAAAAGGTTAAAAGTTGAAATTTTTGAAGGAAGTTCCCCGTCTGTTCGTAAAGAAAAGACACAAGAAGCCAGAGTATCAACTGCGTCCAGTTTTTCTTTAAAAAAGCGTCTATGTCCTGCCGTCGATAAACGTTTCTCTTGTGTAGATACGGATAAAAGTTATTCTCACTCTACTACTACTCAGTATTGTAGGAAGTCACTAACATTCTCAAGTAAAGCCAAAAGAGATAACTTTGCTAGTGACGTTGATCAGGTATATAATAGCGATGAAGAACTGCCTACGGAAAATCCCGTTGTACACGTAAACAGTCAAGGCTTTGACGAAGGGACAACTCCATTTTAGAGATATGTAAAGAGGACAGAAGAACAAATACGTTTCAAGGAAGACAATCTACGCGAAGTTCAGAATAAGGCAGCTGGGTTTCAAGAGCGACTTGAAGTTCTGAAATCCCAATATGGAAATGTCGGCAAAATGTGCCACAATTGTCATTTGCGATTGAGTCACACTTCCAGGAATTGCTTGTTTGATTCGTGCACATCACTTTTTGAATGTGCTCAAGAAAAGTTACATCATGGAGAAAATGTTGGAAAACAACTATACACAAAATCCATAAACAAACTAAAAACCGGTATAGAGCAGTTGCGTCGAGATTTAGACAATAAACCTTTAGCATCTCAAAAGGTTAAATTAAAACCTCTATTAATCATAACATAGAAAGACAGCTTTTAGAAGAAAACAATGATAACTACCAGGAAGGAGGTATAAAAAACTGGACTCTATTACGAAAACACGTATATGCTTTACAGTTGTATTGTAAAAAGTGTATGAACGGAAAAATTTCCCCTAGGCATCAATTGATGGAAAAATTGGACGGAGCACTTGAGGAATACCAAGAAAATACTCGATCAGTTAATCAACCACGACCTCGCAAACACCGGAATTTTACGCGCAAGGATCCTCTTGAAAAGCACGGCGTTAAATTTAAAAACAAAACCATAGTACTGAACAGTGTTCAGATGAAACCGTCAGCTTTCCGTCAAACACTCCCGTCTCATCAGATTTTTCTCGATTACTCCCAGAAAACGAAATCGAGGAAGCGGAACAGCTTAACATTTGCATTCGAGAAAGTATGCGAACTATAATAGTAAAGGCGACAACTAAGTCATTGGCAGTTTAGCCCAGCAAATAATGCGAGTAATAATCTGATTATGAATGAAGGAACTGCATGCATCCCGAAAAAGTCATCAGATTACCCTATTGTAACCCTACCACAAGCATTTGCATGCTCAAAAAAGCAAGTGGAAGAATGTACATTACGAGAGTTTGCAAATACTATGGACTATCAATTAAACAATTAGATCTGCTGTTTGATAGCCTAATTATGTCGATATTCACCTTTGCTATTGGACTGTGGGGTTGTGCATATGACGGTAAATATTTGAATTTTGAACCAAATAGATAAATTCATTAAACGTGCACATAAGAATGGTTATATATCAAAACGAACACACATTAAAGAAATACGTGATAAGAGAGATAAGAAACTGTGGAACAAAATAACATCAACTGAGGACAATGCATTGCTTGAACTGCTGCCGGAAAAAAGAAATAGGTTACTTAGGCCTAGAGGGCATGAGTATGAACTCCCCTAGTGCATGAGAACAGAAAGATTCAAAAGGTCGTTCATAAATCGTTGTCTGTATAACTTTGTTTAGACTTTAATGTATTTTTAAAACTTTTTACGCTTCTTAACTTACATTGTAAATATAACTATCTAGATCAATTACCTTTCGATTGTAAACTCGGACGGATGTATCCGAGTATTTTAATAAAGACTATTATTATTATTATTATTATTTTTAGAATTAACTAACAATACAATGATGCCTCCACTAAATTCTAAAGCATATTGTAACATTGGCCAATGCCCTTATATAGCTATCAACGTTTGTCAGCTATTGTCCGAAGACACCTCATGTCAACAGTCCAGATAATATTTTTCTCACAATTGTCTCGCTTTCCCATAATACAGTCTTTTGCATTTCTTTACTTATCCAGTGTAGTCTTTCTCGTTGTTAAACAACTCTCTTATATCATCTTTCAGTCTTTTCATCCCTCCTCCTAAACAGCCGATCACCGCTTGTATAACTTTCACTTTATATCCGTCCCGTCTTTCCCGTAATGCATAACAAAGCTGTTGATACTTTCTTATCTTCTCTTCTCTTTTCCCGTCTTTGTTCGACTCATACGGACATGCCATGTCTATTAGCATAATCTTTCTGCTGTCCTCCAGCGTCAGATCGGGCCTCCTTGCCGTGTAACTCGTCCTCATCCTGTGTTCCCAATCCCAATATAGCTTCTTCCCGTTATTTGTAATTACTTTTCCTCTCTCCCATTTCTCTGTGTACCACTTCGTTCCTTTCGGTAACAATCCATTATCAATCGCCCATTGCACTGCTAGTACTTTTAACACGTTGTCATGTCTTCTTACATACTCCGATCCCGCCAACTTTTTGCATCCTGCCAATAGATGTTGAACTGTTTCTCTAAATTCCCCACACAATCTGCACTTGTCTTGGTCCAGTAGTCCTCTCATTTTCTTCCATGCTTTTGTTTCGATCATTTGCTCCTGCAATGTGAATATCGATGCTGTTTTTCTCGGTTCGGTGTTGCACTTCAGTCAACCATGATCATCCTTGTCAAATCCCATTGGTATTTCACTCTGCAGTCTCTTTTCCCTGAAGGTTTCAACCTTGTACCTGATTTGCCCTTCCCTTATGATGTTCTTAAGCTTTTTCCATGCGACCTTCCAATCCACATAGCTTTCGTTTCCGATCTTGATTTCTCCAACATTGAATTCGACGTGTGCATTCATTCGGCCCATTGCTTCCTCTGCCACTCTTTTCAATGATGTTTGCTCTTTCATGTACTCGTTTCTCCATGACACTTTAATCCACTCGTTGTTCGATGTTGCCATATAGCATGCTACCCTTACTTTCGTCTCATCGTAAACCTACTTAAAGCTTTTCAATTCCCTTCCACCATCATCTCTTTTCTCATACAATCTCTCGTCACTTGCTTGCTTTCCATGAAATCCTTGTTTCCTAAATGCGGTTTTAACAAACTTATCCAGCTCTTCCAAATCTCCTTTCCTCAAGTTACATACATTATTCCTTGTAACTGGCATTTCCGTTAAGCAAAAACCCACCGGGAAATAGCTGTCGCCTTGTAAGAAACCTTTCCGAATTTTTATCCATCTGCCGATTTTCGTTTCTCCTTTGTCTGTGACCTCTAACCTTGTTTTCCATCCCTTCATCAGGTGGCTTAACACATTCACCACTTTTTCTGGCACTCCCATCCATTGATAAACTCGTAACATCCAGTCATGTCTGACCATGTCATATGCCTTGCGGTAATCATAGAATACTACAGCAAGGTTTCGCTTTTACCCTCTTACTTCGTCCATAATGGTATTATCTACTATAAGTTGGTCAACTGTTCCTAGTACGCCGGAACATGTTCCAATTTGACTTTTATCCCAAATGTTGTTTCTTTCAGCGTGGTCCTTCATATAGCTTCCAACGTTTCCAGTGAATATCATATAACACGTGTTCAAACAGGTTATAGGGCGATATTCCCTTTCATCGCTCAAATTTCTAACTTTGGCAATAACACTGTCCGCCCCTGAGTAATCCATTCTGGTATTATCTCCGGTTGTTCGTTCCATTTATTAAAACTTTGTACCATTGCCTTCCATGTTCCTCTAAGCTTTTTCCACCAGAAATTCTGTATCCCGTCATGACCAGTTCTTTCTCTTTCTGATTGTCTTGTACAACTTCTCTTCGGTAATTGTTAATTCTTCCACACTAATTACTTTTTGCCCCGATCTTCTCTGCTACTGTTCTCATCCACCTCCTGGGCGGAGTACTGGTTTCGTCTTCCCAGATGCCTGTCCAGAATTCAGGCGGTGTGCGCAATACGACCGCAAAGCGTGATGGGGTTTTCGCGCCTGAATTGCAATTGCACCTCATTTGCATTTTGCTTTGACCGAGTGAACATCAGAGACAATCAGTGTCAGCGAAAATAAATACTCTAATTTAATATTCTTCGATGGGAATCAATTGCCTTTATTCCCACACATAAAGAAATATGGTAATAAGGTGCATATCAGCGAATTTTATGGACGAATTGTGGCAGTCGACGCTTCGTGTTGGATCCATATAAAGCGTTAGCAATTTTATCACAACATGGCAAATATCTCGAAAGGTGAGTTATAAATATAGGTACTATATTGGACTATTTTATAGGTAATTACTACATATTTTCACTAAATACTTATCTTCAATACAAAAAGCTGGAGTGATTCCATTTGTAGTGTTTACTTAAAGCATATACAACAATATATAATAATTAAATGCTTCTGATTGCTTTTATTTTATGTACTATAAGCACTCAACTTGGTTCACTCTCAGTAAATGTTCAAATAGTATCGATACTATTAATAGCTAAAAACAAAAATGATACAAAAATATTCAGCCTTTGTGTTTGCGAACTTGACTTATCTGCAGAAGGTAAGGATGGGAATTTCATTAGTTACCATTTACTGTTGTTAACACAAAGGAGGGGCTGGTTGATGAACATTTTGATGAACAATTTTCATTTTACCAGAGAAGCTAGCTGCTACCTCCTAGTAAACTCACTGCCATTGTAGTTTGCCACTTCCTAGCCTACCAAAATCTTTGCAGTCCTGGGTTATTAGCACTTGTTTGATGGTCAGAATAAATTTCTTAACACAATAATCAGCATCCTGGACAAGCATTTTGCCAATGAGCTTGCTGCAGGAAACATCAACCCAACAAGTGGAATAAACCAAAATAACTTTTCTCACCTCCAGGTAGTAATTGGTTGCATTTTGATCAATGCATACCAAAGTAAAATAATCTAGTTGCATTACAGCTTGTACATTGTCCTTGTACAATGAAGTGACACAAAAATAACTTCATTTTAGGTCCTCTTCCAAACATGCCAACAGAAAGTCAGACTATACAGGTACAGTAGTGAATTTACAAGCCAGTATTTACCAGCAGTATTTATCTGTATTTACCATCCAGTATTTACCAGTAGGTAAATACTAGCCTAAAATGAACATGTTTTTTGATTGATTTGCTTAGACAAAGGTGATCATAATTTGTGACTTGTTCTTTGAAGTAATTGTTATCGTAGCTATCTTAAAACATCACAAAATCTTTGAAAGCTGTATTTGTAAAAAAAATTAGTCATGATGATAATTATCTTCAAACAAACCACAAAGACCATTTTGGTCCAAAATAGAAATTTGTTATCACAACACAAAAGGTGGTGACTGCAGCTAATTACACTTACGGTCTTAGGCCATCATAACGCTTGTATGAACTTATTTTGTGTAATTGCAGGTGAAATAGTTGGGACCATTACAAGCATTGCAGACTCATGGTTCTCATGGACTATATCAACCTTCCCTGTTATGTCCATTGCCCATAGAATTTAAATGAATAAATGTAGTGCTAAACTCTGGCAATGCACATGCTTTAATTAGAAGATCTACTGACATCTGCCCAGGAAAATTTAAATGTACGTCGCACTGCAAAATTACAATTGATGGAATTGAGTACATTGTTTATGGAAAATAACAAAAGTAAGCGAGGTTAGAGATGAGAGTGCAGCAGGTATGGCGAGACAAAGCATGGAAGAAGAGCAAATTGAAAGTGAAGTGCACACTGTTCCACTTAAAGTTCTTGGATCATGTCATTCAGGTGAAAGACAGAAAATATTAGAGGAAGTGTTCGAGTACCTAAATGAGTATAATAGGCCAGTCTATGTGCAGTTGGAAAAAGAATCAGACAATTTACATGATCCAAATGCAATTGCAACTTATGTGAAAACTGTTGATGCATTCCACAAGTTTGGTTATATTGCAAGCAGGGATGCTGGGGGGGGGGGGCAGGAGGGGCAGCTGCCCCTCTTGCCTTTTGTTAGTAGGGGCAAGGGGGGCAGAAGTGCCCTTTAAGTTATAAAATACTACACCTGATAAATCACGTTTCCAGTGATGCTTTTTGCATGGGCAAAATCATGAGGTGTGATCTTGAATGTGACCTGATTAAGTGCGTTTGCTTTCATTGGCAAGTCAACACATAATTGTAGGTTTATATCTTCACCGAGGTTTACAGAGGTGCCCTTTGGTGTGCGTTTGCCCCCCTTGCCTTTTTATCGTTCCGGCGTCCCTGATTGCAAGTGAACTGACACAGTATATTAGCCCCCATATGAACGGCCCTAGCTTTGATGTGTCTATAAAATACATCAAACTACATACAACTTTTATGCGAATTGGATTTTATCACACAATTAACATATCCAAAAAAGGTTCATGGCATCCTAATGTGGTCAAAGCTAGCAAGTCTGCTATGTAAATGCATAAAATATACTGAATAGAACTGGTTTGATGCAACCCATCTTATTAAAAAATCAACATTTGTAAAGTAAATTAACTTGTCTGTTTTTAACGTGTTTATAAATATGAATGACTATATTCATTGTTATTTGTTATTTACAAATATGTGCATAAGGTTATGTACTGTGTGTACTGTGCACAGAACTGCCCACTTTCTGTAAGATGTCCGCTGACCACTCTCCTCCGCAGAGGCTTTGTAGTTTGTTTTCTTTCTATGAGAATGAGTTTGTTTTCTTTCTTTCTATAAGTTTGACTTGCGGGCAGTAGCGGGCTAGGTAGAGAAGTGGACACACGGGGGGAGCAAGCGCGGGGTTAAAAGGGGGCATCATGGACATTTGGAGCCGCTACTGTTCGCAAGTCAAACTTATATAGAAAGAAAACAAACTACAAAGCCTCTGCGGAGGAGAGTGTCCGCTGGCAATACGAGCCCGCATGAGTGGGAGAAATTTTTCTAAATTTGACCAATGTGCTCACATATGTTTTGGCACTGGTGGCAAAGCCACTCAGGTGTGCCATCTTCTCATCTCTCAAAGCACCATGACATACCATAAAGCAAGTTCTTCTTGCCCTCTTGCAATGTTTTCATGGCATTTAAACTTTTGTCCAGAAAATCTGCTTGCACAAATTGGTATAAAGCCATGCATGCCTCCAAGCTCAATAAAAAAAGCTTTTATAAATGGTTCAATAATTGTTCCTTTAATCTTTGGGACATGCTACACTTTTGAAGGCTGTGATGAGATTTTGGACAATATCACCAAGAGTACCTGGGTTATTTCCTGCTGAGCCCTTACATGGTGACTCTTTGAAAATTGGTGAGAGATTATCACTAAAATTGAACACAGCAGCAGGACTTGATGGCACAGGAATAGCTGAGCCAACAGAATCATGTACATAGTCAATTTCAAAATCTTTTTCTGCATCACTCAATGTACCACATTCTTCGCCAAGGTTTTTAGGACTCGGGTTCTACATGAACCTCCTAGAACAATTAAAATATTTTGCTTTAATTAATGAAATATAAGAATATATAAATGGCATTGAATTTATCAGTCAAATTTAATCACAACATTGTTGGGAGCTTGTTGTTTAAAGATGCAGTCAATTCAATTTCCATTTGTTGTTTACAAATGTTTCAGCCTGCAAATGTGTTCAGCCTGAAATTAAATTATGAATTTAATCTGTTAAGTTACATTCCATCCTAATGTGCCCTTCTTTATTATTTTACTCTGATTTTACTTGTCAAGGAGGGGCACTGGCACTCAATGCTCGGTTAGTTGTTTTAATTTAAATCAATAATAATAATATGATTCGAATACCATACCTGATCGTTGGGATTTACATGCATTTTTTTACTGCTTGGGCATATCCTCTTTATCTTTGGTTGTTGGCCATTTGTCGTTCCAGGGATCTTTCCAATACAGACATATATACTGTATTTATTTATAAATAGCATACAAGTTTCTTGTTTAGTCCATGACACTGGATTTTCATTCCTGCTGGATACAGAACTTTGAGAAATTGTTAGGAAAAGGCTCTTCCTCGAACTACCTTCACGTAAAGCCAACTTTGGCTTCGCTGAACTGTCGCCAGTTGACAGCTCGAAGCGTCTCTCGCCTCTTGGTAGCCATTTTGTTTACGGTGTCAATGTATCATTTACCTGTTAAAATGGGCATTATAAATTCAAAATTTGCAGACAAACCGTACGAGGTGCGATGGGGTGCGATGTGATTTTTGGATAGTTTATGCTTTAAAAAACAAGTATACAAAGGAAATGCTATTGATTTCTAATCGTGCAAGGATATTCTGGCAATATAAAAACGCTACTCAAACACCACGTCGAAACATGCCAAATATGGGTGGCAGTTCAATCGGCTATATCTTTCGACACAATCAAGTTTTCGTGAATGATTTTAGGCACACATTAACACCAAACACTCCTTTTCGATATAATAATACAAAACGTAATCAAAATGAGAGGAAATAAGAATAAAATAAATGCTAAACTTACCCATAACTAAAGGTGAATTAACATTCCTTCGCAAAATTTATAAATTGTGCTCCCATACTGCTTTGCGGTCGTATTGCGCACACCGCCTGTCCAGAATTCAACAAATTTGTCGATGTCTGGTACTGTTCCTCTCCTTCCCTCCGCATTATTCATCTTTCGGTAAAACCTCCCTTCATTCTCTCGAAACATTTTGTTGTTTCTGATCTTTTCGTCTCTCGTCCTTATTTTTCCCAACTTTCTCTTTCGGTATCGTAATTCCTCAAGCCATATTTCTTTCGCCTTGAGAAACTCTTCATTCTTTATTAATTTATTTTGTACTTTGCTCCTTAACCTTTCCAGTATTCTTTTTTCCTTCTTTGTTATTTTTCTCTTCACCTTTTCCATTCTCCTATGAATCTCGTTGGACAGCCACGCAACCATCTGTCTCGCTTCTTTCACATGTTTTTCCAATTTTCTTATCCTTCTGTTCTCATCCCTCTCTCCCTACCGCTTTATCTTTCCGGAATCTTGCTGCATTATCCCTCAGACACTGTGCACTCATTGGCTTGTCTAAATAGATCGAGTCCCATGCTTCTTTCATTCTCTTCATGAACCCTCTTCCTCTACTTCTTTCCTGTTCTTCAATCCTTAATAAATTAATTTTTATTTCGTTAGTCCATTCGGCATTACTTGTACTTGTACTGTCGCTACCATTAATGTTGTCTTGGGTTGCTTGGTTATCCATCACGATAGTATCTCCAACCTCTAGAGCGGGTCTTCTCGTTTCAAAATTAACCGCATTCGAAGACTCTTCAAAAAAAAATAGGAACTGTACTGTATTGCTAGCTCCGTCTATTAGTTTGTAATATTCCACTCCATTTAACGATACAAGAAGGTATTGTGCGATTCTTGTCGTTTCACAACATCGATACATCTTTCACCGACTAGTGCGTTTCCGTAAAGACGAATGCCAACATCTGGGGCCAGTTGTATAAAAACGTAATTAGCGCTAACTGTAGTTAGCGTTAATCACTGTAGTTAAATCCTTAACTGTAATTAGTTAACTACATGACTTAACTGCGTTGCACAAAACGTAGTTAGTCGGATAGTTAACTAATCACCTAGTTAACTGTGCGTGGGGCTTGCGTGGGGCGTTTAAACACAAAATTACATGAAGTAAGCAGCGAGTAACGACGGCGGATACACATTTTCAACATGATTGTGGACTCGTATTTTGCAAATAGGCGGGAATTTTATTCAAAACACTAGAAAACAGTGAAAAATATACAAGAAAACAAGGAAAAACCGCCACAAAAATCATAAAAGAATGCAGTTTTTTCTTGAGATGTCTACGTTAAACCCAGGTATAGCTGTTTGGCAATTATATATCAGTGTTTCTTGGTGTAATGGACCATACTTCGTCTTCGAGAAATCGTCCTGTGCAAAAATGTGTTCTGTTTTCGTAAAACACCAAAGCGATAGCGTTTGAAGAGTTTATATTGTCAGGAAACATTCACAGGGAAGATAGCGATTGAAAATCTCAGGTAAGCGTTGCTTTTCATTGTTGTTTTACTGAAAAATGTTGTTCACTCCTATACAAACGCCATTTTTAACCACGTTTTGGACAGTTAACTATACCCTAAAGCATAGTTAACTTTAACTACTTTTTAACTGCAGTTAAGGCTAACTACACTTTTATACAACCGGCTTAACTACGTGATTAAAGTTAACTATTTTTTAACTACTTTTTAACTGCAGTTAGCGCTAATTACGTTTTTATACAACCGGCCCCAGGTATTTTAATGCCTGCTTCATCAAAAAATTTAATCTTGCTTGCGTATTTCGAGAGCTCAGATAATCAATAAAAAGCTGTGTCTACAACACGTTTGTCGCAGTAAAGCGTTGCCGTGCAACGTGCGATATTTTCTTGCGAGAGTATTTCTTACCAGACAATAAATTAGACTTAATTGCGCGGGAAATTGTAAATATGGACAAAATGTCTTGCCCAGCATCGCAGGATTTCGCGAATTTGGGTCAGCGAAATGGAACCCTGAGCAGTCTTGTTTCAATTAGTTCCAGATCGTCCGGGGTCAGTTTGAAATTGTGAGATCCTCCGCGAGATTTCACTGAAATGTCGTTGGATTCGCAAAACTGTCGCCAAATTTTTTTAACTGATTGACGGGATACACTTAATCTCCTAGCAATTTCTTTGTATGTAACTGGCATATAACCAGCTACTCTATCCCCACCTTCCTTGACAATTTCGTCAATAATCAATGATCGCATATCGTCTAACAGAGCCATCCCGTTTCGATAAGAACGGCCAGACGCATTTACTTTGTAAGCCATTTTCCCTCACAGTAAACATGTGTTTGTTTGTACTGGTATTACTGTAATCAGTGTAAAGTCACATTCCGGAAGTGCGTGGGTTTCGAATTCAGAAACGCAAAGTTACGCCCCCTGTCATAATTGTTTTGCACGTAAAAGTCATGTTTTCCAATCAAAACGCTCGCTACAAAACTCGTAAACAACTTGTTTTCGCGGCGTGGGGTAATGATTGAATACAATTGGCAAAAACATTTTTTCGCGAAACTACTCTACTGGTAGCATACGTTTTAATAAGCTAAAAATCAATTTTGGGGTTAGGGGCACCTTAATAATCGCGCTTTTTAATTTTGACAAGTTTTGTTTTGTTTCCGTAATATTTCAGTAGTTTTTAATTTTTACGATTTTAATTTTATTCATTGTAGGTACTTGAGTGAAAAGTTTAACTGTCCTTAGTATGCTCTAAGATGAAAAAAATGAAAAGATATGCAAGAAATAATCCATACACTCCTAAAACCTCTTTCCAAATCAACAATGCGATTCACTTCTTCGTCTACAGTGGAGTTAGAACCAAGCAGTTGAAACACAGTGGACATTAACTTTTTGTAGAAATCATAATCCTATAAAAAAGGAAATAGGTCTGCTAAAGCCATTCATTATATCATTATACTGGGGATGTGCAGGGATACTAGTTGAGTAGCTGGGATGCTGTTTTGCAAGACACCTGATGATACCGGAGAGTGGTCTATGGGATACAGGTCATGGGAAAATGGTAACTGGATTTGGGATAACTTGATGCTAATGGTGGCTCTTGGACAATACCCAGTCGCTAACCTGACAACAACATACACCTACTGTATTAGAGAGATTCTGCACAGGGTATCCGTAACCCCGTAACCGCCACCACGCATTCGTTATCGCAAAGCAGTGCAAAACACTAGCAATGCTATCGCCATTTTCCTAGCCAGTGCACTTACGAGAGGCACTCGCCCCCCTGAATGTCTAAGCCAAGGAGGCCATTGTGAAATTTTTCGGAGGGTGTCGGCCTGCGTGTAAACACCCCCTAATATTAGCATTTCAAAGATGAACATACGTACCGCAACTTCTGAAAGTTTTTCCGAGTGCCTTGAACGTGATTTTTTTTTATCCACTAGTCTGCCGTCATAACCAGACTTTCCCCCACTGACCTACATATGGTATTGAAACTATAGTCATTACGTGTATTCAGATTGGACAATAAAGCTTACAGCTAAACACGGAAATCACGCAACCTGGCAGATAACAGTGTTATCTGGTACACGGCAAAAAACGCCGAGTCCGTTGCTCAACAGGACTGAACAATGTTTTGCTGCGCATGTTGTTCACACTTGTCAACAATATTGAACAATGTTGTTGAGTCTGAATCAGGTGTAACAATATTGTTCAGTATTGTTGACAGATATGAACAATGTGGGCAGCAAAACATTGTTCAATCTTGTTTTCATCAGTATTGCATCAACCTGAGCGTTTTTTTGCCGTGTAGCAGATAACACGGTCGACTGCAGGTTGAGCCAGCGGTATATAATATGCAAGAAAAACAACATGAACGACCGACGTTTTCTGATTTTTTGACGTTTTTATCGGAACTTTAGCAGGTAAATTAGTTTTCTGATACATGAGTGCTGTTTTTGTGATATTTTAATTTGTTTCCAGTCCTTGTTTGAGATTTAAATGTTCTTTTGTGCCACAATTCATTATTGGTTGAAGGTGCATGTTTAATAATTAGTCACCTTAATAAAAATACAATGTGCAATAAACAGTTAGGGAACAGTCCTAATTTAATTACTTGAGGGGGGTTTTGTAATTCTCCAGTTTGTTGTAATTTTCCCACTTCTCGTCGCAGTGACGATTTCCACGTTTTCGTCAGTATCCGATTCATCAGTCGTTTCTGCGTTTGATTCTGAAATACCAGCAAGGGTATCATTTAGAACCATATCCGCGCGAACTATTGTCGCTATCACTGTCATCATTTTTCTCTTGTCCCATTGCATCGCCTTCAGAAACAGGTAATTGGCTCGCAATATGTCCTCGAATGACTCTGAACTTCTCAACGTTCTCAATTTCAAAGTCTGACTAAAATATGTATATACGAATTTGTGTTTATTTGATATCTATATTAAAACTCAAACTTCTCAAATATTTCCGTAGACCTAAACATTTTAACATAAATAAACAGGTGCATCAAAGATCGGATTTTTCTTCGGACCCCCACAATTAATCACTTAATTTTTGGTACCCCTCCAGAAGTACTGAATTTTTCATCTCCCCCCTCTTAGTATCCTCCACCCCCCTCTAGTAATTACTTTATGACCGATCCCTTGTTGAAGTCGGTTTTTGTGCATTGCCCGTTATGAGGGGGGGGGGGGGGGGGGGGGTTATAATATCGTTAGGATATTAATGTTTAGAGTGAGAAGTTATCGACGTATGTTGCAGAATTAAATCCCAGAAATATTCGTAATTAGTATTAATTGTGCGTCTGAAAATAGGAGATGTGCTCCTTCTATTTACCTTCTGTTCATCTACCAATAAAACGGTGTGTTATTAGTAATCTGTAGAATTTTATCAGTTTATTTCTTTAATTATTTCAAACAATAGCCTACTACTCATTATCTATGTTAGTCAACGTTTATTCATAAATCTATAGTCCTTCACCGTCACGTGTGACGTGTGTATTGTATTTTTGCCCAACTAATCAATAGCAATGTTTTAAGAAAGTTACCTATATCCGCGACTCGAACAATTAGGTAAATTGGAAATTGCTATATTGGTGGATTTGGCGAAAATACAAAACACGCGTGACGGTGAAAGACCGTATTTATGAATAAACTAATATAGATGATTTATGTCTTTCAGTTCTAGATATATGATGTTACCTACATTAGCACTATTTTCGTTAATTCTAGTAAAATAGTTATGTTTTAAAGTTTATTGTTAAAATGTCAATTGCCCGAGGCATAAACGATTCTTTATGTCTTTCAGTTCGAGATATGTTACCTACATTAGCACTATTTTCTTTAATTCCGGTAGAATAGTCATGTTTATGTGCGACAGGGGCAAGGTTGTGACAGCTAGGGATGGTTTGTGTCACGAATAATTATGGTAATGTTTGTAAATCAAGTGGCGAAGTTATAATGAATTATATGCATTTAAAAATAATAATTACTGATTTACTGTATGTGTGTAACAGTAACAAACATTGAAATCTATCAGCGCAGAAGAAATGCAGAAGTAAATCTGTACAGCAGCCCAAAATGCATACGATATATATTATATACAGGAAATATACCGTAGAGTAGCTGCGATCTACGGCAATTTTTGACGCCATTCCCGCGTGGAGGTTTTCGGGAAATTCCAGGTCTGTGCACATGACTGGATCAAATACGTAGGAATTACCAGGTGGGGTAGGACCCTGGGCAGGACAATAACGGCTGCAGCGCTTACTAATGGGTGTTCCCAGCTCTTCAACTTACCGTGATAAAAATTTCTGATGTGTTATAGTAAGATGATTTTATATCGAAAGATAGAAACGCTGGAGTTTGAAGATCAACCAACACCCTTGCAAGAATTTTTTCCAATATCCAAGAATCTCCATTCCAGTTCTTGTTTGTGATATTCCATGAGCCATATTTTTCTATCACATCAAGAACTGGTTTAATCCCATCATTTTGAATGGAACTCTCATCCATACAGGACTTGTAGTATGTGAAAGCTTTGTAGACAGCGGAACCCTAAACATATTGGAATAGTTAGAGATTGGGATTTTATATTGTATTAGGCCAGTGACAGACACTTCACGAAATACTGGGGGGGGGGGGATTTTCAACATGTATTCCAAATGGGTTTCGGTCCTATGACTACAGGGTGTATAAAAAAAACGGAGTCGTCCGTATTTGGGTCAGTCTAAACGCCAGTTTGGTACATGGCTAAAAGAAAATCAATTTCATATGAGTAATCATGCTTTGAGTAGGGGATGACGGTGGGCATATTGTAAACACTGGACTGGACTTTGGACTTTCGATTTTGAAATTATATTATTTTTTATATTTTCGTTTAATTATATTAAAATCTAAACAGAGAACGAACATTTGCTGCTGAAAAGCGTGCTACACTGCATGCACATGCATGATATAAATATACAAGGTAAAAAATACTCAGTATCAGTTATACAGGTATACCAGCAGTGCAATTTTATACGGATATAGCCTGTAGGATAGCAGGATTATCAAATATTTTGGGATTTAATATTTAAATTTTATATAATATTTGTATTTATAGTATATGCATATAGTATAGTTTATACTGCAGAACTTCTTCTTTATCATATAGATAATAGATTAATTGTCAGAAACAATTGTGACAAAAGTGTCTCGGCAAATACAAAATATTAACTATACAAGTGATTATTATTGCGCCTATTGAGTGTTGTATACATTCTATTGACTGTTCATCTTTGCATAATAGTTTATACTAGTACTGTATTGTGTAATTGTTTACTCCGTTACACAGTAACGTTTTGTTAATTAATGTTACTTTTTAAGACCTACTCAGTTGTGTGTGAGAAGGCAAAAATCTATGTCTATGTGCTTCAGGTAGCAACTATTTGCCACGTTTACTGTAATACTACCACTTGCAAGTGATGAACCAGGTGGGAATCGTAATCGTAGTATAAAGATTAATGCCCAGCATAACGTACGCAAAAAAATCCATATATATATAGACAATAATATAGACAGATTATCATAAAGTAATCAGTGCTACCAATTAATAATGTATGCATACATTCGTATTTTATGAAGTATGATGACTATGAGAGTTCGTGTTCACTATGGCTGAATACATTTATGAAAAGCTAAAACTGACACAGACAAAATATATTGCAACACAGCCTATTTAGGCAGGCGCTAAACCGGTGTAAACTATATATTATGCAAAGATATTGTTTCTATAAATCTATTATCTATACCAACTATACGATAAAGAAGAAGTTCTGCAGTATAAACTGTACTATACATACTATAAATACAAATATTATAATAAAATTTAAATATTAAATAAAAAATATTACTGAGATGATCCTGTTATCCCACAGGCTATATCTATGAAATTGCACTGGTATACCTATATAACTGATAGTATTTTTTACCTTGAATATTATTATCATGCACAAATTTTCGTTCCCTGTTTAGATTTTAATTAATATAATTATACGAAAATCTTAAAAATAATATAATTTCAAAATCGAAAGTCCAAATCCAAAGTCCATAGTCCAAAGTCCAAAGTCCAAAGTCCAAAGTCCAGTCCAGTGTTTACAATATGCCGATGACGGTGCCTATTTGACAGAGAAATACATCCTATTGGCAGAGAAAGTGCAACTTTAGATCACCCCTGATGAAGACATTAGACTGGAAACGTTGTCGAAACGTTGGGTCTTGATTACAATTCGAATGGGCTTTGTATTCATTTCTTTAATCCGGAGTAGCGAGCGAAAACATAATTACATACTTTTTCTAAGATAATCAATTAATCATGTCGATTAGCGTTGTTGTTTAATGTACAGAAATAACAATCAATTCTGTTTAAAATATTTTATCAGTAGAGCTGTAAGGAATCCTACACAGAACAAATCAAATTGTATAAAACGGGTTTGTTATGGCATTATTGGCATGCATTATACAGAATATTAATTTTTGCTTGCTATATTGCTAACCTTAGCTTAATAAGTTTTATTTAAAGTGCATATGACATGAAATTTCTTATTTTCTTGAATGAAAGAACTCTTTAAGCCGTAGTGTAACTTATTTTTCAGATTCTTGTTTTTATGGTTTGTTCCCGAGATATTTCAACTTGTTTGATATGTAAATGATGTGAATATGTCCGCTAATTTATGACGTCACATTGGTTGCAAGCTCTTCAAAATGGTCGAATATCACTGCTATCATCCAAGATGATAATTTCAGACTTCACTCACTGGTAAATGTGATGAAACGCAGGAGAAAAAAGGAAACAGTTGCTAGAGTTTATAGATTTAGAACTCGAAGTTACTCTCGCAAGTGAAGTGCTGCCTTGCCAACCTCGTTCCCAGGCTCTTCCCTCTTTAGGAGGAAAGACCCCAATCTTGTTCCCCAAGCATGCCCGTTCGCAGGTTAAGGGTGGGCATAGCTCCGGAGAAATCGAATTGATTCACGTTGAATTTCCAACGTGAGTTCTACGCATGCTCGGCAATTGTTGCAAAATATAAATAAAATATTAAGAATTCTCGTCGAAAATTTGGTACTTTTTACACTGAAATCGATTGAAAACAACTAAAAATTCTGGGGGAAATATGTACGAAAGCTTCGGATTGATAGGGATACAACTACCTAAAAAATACAAGGAGAACTTAGACGTTTCAAGCGAAGGCGCTTCAACCCGCACTATTATAGTGTTTGTATACAAAGAATATTGAACATAATCATTAGTTGCAGTAAATGAATCTATGTTGAATTTGTTGTCCGGTAGACGAGTCTTTTTTAAGAATCCCCCACAACTGTATTGGTAGAAATCATCACATGGCTTGGTGGATTCATCCAGCTTGTTAAGAATGTCTGGGGAAAATAGTAAACTTTAAATATAATCTGTCTAACACATTTGTCTCCAGTGGTGGATTTATAGGGGCAGGGTCTGAAATTAATTTTCTTTTCAATATGGGATACCAGGATTCAAAGCTCTAGTATCCCATCTGAGAATCCAGTATCCAAGTATCCAAATATCGAAGTAAAGTTCTGTACAATAACAACAGGAGACTCAACAGTCAACAACTACTAGAGCACCAGGTTTGAAATCAAGGTTATTTTCAAACCACATTACCACAATACTATGCCAAATTTTAGTTTCCTGAGGATATGGAAATACATGTACTGCAAATTTCAGACCCTGTAGGGAGGTGGACAGGGACGTGCAGGGCTTCGCCTCGGTCCACAGGCATGCAAGGGGGGTACAATCTTACTTTTAAATGTTTCCGGTATTCAAAGCACACATGCTTACATTTGGCGCCAAATTGTCAGCCGAGAGGCAATAGCACACGGTAACAATGCGCCCAGATGCGCCCCACTTTATTATTTTACTCTGTCACAGTAGCGGAAATTCACTTTTCCGGTGGGGTGGGGTGGGGCACCCCCCCCCCCTCATTTGCACTCTAAAATGCTGTTTCTTCGCCCTCTTAGGTTAAAATTTCCAAAAATTCGTCAATTTTGTCGGTGCGCCCCACTCCCCTCACCCCTACCCGATCGAAATTTCCGCCACTGCTCTGTCTAACGCCAGACAATTTTACTCGTCTGAGGGAAAGTGCTGCCACTCAATGGGTTAATCAGACTATCTGTCCATGCAATGCACCATGTTAACCCTTTAAAAGGCAATGCCCCCAGATGCTCCCCACTTTATTATTTTATTCTGTCTAACGTCTGGGAGAGAGTGCTGTCACTCAATGCATAGGTTAAATTAATTATGCATTGCAGCGTTGCGACAATCGTTGCGAAAAGTAGAACCCGATTCTACTTTGCACAAATTGCAAGAAAACTGTTGCAAGAATTGTTGATTGCGAGGCATTCTACACCTTGCAGAGTTCAATATAACGGTCTGCCACCACTGGCCATTGTCCATGCAAAATGCTGATACAGCAGTCTGATTGTTCTGCATGAACATTTCAGTATAGCCGACCATTTTGCCTCATTGATTTGAATACTTTTTCCCTTAGTCTTGCAACTTTCTCAACTAAATCTGTAATTTTTTACAAACAAACAAACATAAATGCATCCATAACTTATTGGGAAAGTGTGCTGTGACTGGCAGTCTATCCTATACATAAACGTGTCTCTTGAGTTCTATAAATAACTGGTGTGGATCATGTTCGACCAAAACGTGGGTTTATTGGTCTGACACCAAATTTTTAAACAGAATTATATTGAACTCTGACACCTTGCAGTTTCGTGTGCAACTTGTGTGGCAACAAAGTTAAGATACCAATTGCATACGGGAACCACTGAGTATTTTAATAAAATACAGGTCTGACCTGATGATAACTAAAATATAGTCGAAACGTAGATTCATTAAAGCTAGAAAATGTTATTTGGAGTTACTGTCCTTTTGTATTTTAATTGCATAGTGTAACAGCACCTTAACTTTCCTTACTTAAGGGCCTGTCAAGCTGGCCCATTAAAATGGCCTAGCTTGCTTTCCTGGGCCAAGCTGTTCAGTATTTGTTTCAAATGAGGTGGGCTAATCTGGCAAGTGCCATATAGAAATTCCCACACAATTTTTGGCGGGAACAAAATATTTGTTTTATATTTTTATTGACAGAAACTGCTTCAGAAGTTTTAATTTTGTTGATTTCTTACAGTACTTGTTTTGAAATTTTAGATGCTTTCTTGATGGAATTTAAAGCATGCGTTCTGACACAATTTCCAGCCCACTTTGCCAGGCTGCCCTGCTAAGTGTGTTCATACAGTATGAGCCAGAGAAGGCAAAATATCCCCATGCTTAAATGGGAGCCTGGCAAACCAGGCTGGCCCGGTTTTCATGTGAATCAAATTTCAAAAACATATAAAAACAACATACAAGGTGAGATCTTGCAAGTCAATCTGGTTTACCAGGCCAGCCTGGCTCATATGAACAGGCCCGCCTAAATGCAGGCACCATTGATAGCAGATGAAAGTCAATAAAATTCATACAAACTGATAAAAATTGAAACTGG